CAGTCTGTGATGGTACATCCATTTCTGTACTTAATTTTTTACATTTTATATTTACATTTTACATTTTAGTCATTTAGCAGACGCTCTTATCCAGAGCGTCTTACAGTTAGTGAGTGCATACATTTTCATACTGGTCCCCCGTAGAGTATTCTTGTACATATGACTAATAAAACTTGACAAAAGGATATTCATAATTGGCTTTCTGTGCATCAGTCAACGATGAAATAACATTGTAGAAAACGTAAATAAGTATTCAGCAACCGTAACAAAAGGAAACCAAATGTCCAACTTAGTAGTAATGATAGCCATTGTTTCTAATCAAATGTAAACAAAGACTGTATAGCTTCAAAACATAGTTAAAACTATCATTTTGATCTCATGGATGGTCAGCCTTTGCATTCAAAGCTCCGTCATCTATACATTTGAGTGGGTACATTTTTCTAGCCCCATCCCTCAGCTGTTTACCAAATCCAAAACAAGTGGCGGGGCAAGGGGTTTATGGTTTTCCTAATCGCTGACTGCCCCTTTAATACAATGGTATCATCTTCTGGTCTGTTGAAAACAGTTTAAGACCGGGGTCCTTGATAATACAGAGGGTGGGAGTGGAGGACAGGGCAGGAGTGGTTAGTGTAATGGCCTCTAGAGAAGGCAGCTTCCATAAATAATCCGCTATCTCCATCTACAGGTTTAACATGGGACATGCAATGGTATCTACCAGAGCCGTATACAGTCAATATGAGGCTCTGGTGTCCACACGCGATGGTTGTTTCAACTGATGCATTATCACTCTCCCCATCATCTACACTGTAATAATACCACAACACTACAACGATACCACACAATAACAAGAGTGTTTATAGGGAGAGATCTTGTCCATTATCTCAGCATGCAAATAAGCACTTAAAGTAACTGTCCAGTGACAATCTCACGTTTTAAAAGTTAATATTCTGTTAACTCATACCCAAATTATGTTGTTGACTCATCCTATACTTGTTTTTATTGCCAACGCATAAATTGGAGATAGAACCCTTTAAAACACACCTCAAATTTTTATCTCGAACCCTTTAAAACACACCTCAAATTTGTATCTCAGACTTTTTCAAAAAAGTATTTCCTCATATAATTTGACATCATGTTGGCTCATTGGCTGAGCTGGCCAATCAGCTGTTTAGTTGTCATGAATACTTTTAATAACTGGTATATGCCCACACCATTCATACACAGAAAAGCTGCTTTTTAACATACTTAATTACAAAACTATTTAACTTATATTGTAATTATTATAGGTCACATTTCACAGAAATCTGGAAACACTGGACATTTATTTTAAGGCTGAGGTGAACGGCTTCTCCTAAACTCATCCAAAGATTGTTGAAAAACGACAGAAAGGAAATTCTATTGTGAAAACATACCTTCTTGAAACTTAATGAGGTCAGCCTAACGTATTTGTTTAAATGTGTTTTTTCACTTATAAACGTACTATTCTCTGTGTCATAATGTTACGTTTAACTTACATGATATTATGTACCTTCTTGTGCTGCATGGGGCAATAATTTTGTATTCTAGTTTTTTTGTGTGGTGTCTTCATGTGGAATTTAACAACCTTATTCATATTGTTACCCATGTAAATAATACATCAAATTTACCACACAATCAAATTCCAGTCAACTGGATTTTATGCATTTCATGTTTTCCTTATTCGCCCAATGGGAGCCTTTTTAAGTTTGTCAAAATACCATTCGGCTCCGGATCAACCCAGTTGGAGAAAGAGAAAGCATATCTCTCTCTCTAGAAATACTCACGTGACTGAGATCTGCTTTTTGAGACCTGGAGGAAAATGGACTCAACAATACAGTGATTTGACCTAGTCTTCTACATGATGTTTATCTACACTTCAAATATAGGCCTTCTTTAAACTGCCTCCCAATAGCTGATTTGAATGTATTGTTCTCTGTGTGATACCAATTAAGGACCATAGGTGGCAGAAATAGACTGTACACAAGCCAAGGATCCCATTCCTGTTGCTAGCCTGACCTTGATCAACTTGATTTGAAGTTGGCTGTGTTCATAAGGCACCAATCAGAAGAAAACAGACTGTAACAGGGAGGGACTACCTGTATGAAACAATCCTTTTTATATTCTGTTGCAAAGCATTTTCTGTTGCGTGCTTGTTGACACAGTATGAAAATGTATGCACTCACTAACCGTAAGTCGTTCTGGATAAGCGCGTCTGCTAAATGACGAAAATGTTTTTTTAAAAACTAAAAGAAAATTACATGGCCTAAGCAGAGTTTATAAGATAGTTTCACGAACTAGGTCCAAGCTCATTCCGGGAGATTAAAAATTCCTTCAACATTGTTTACATCAGTTATGAATTTAATTCAGACATTAAGACAATCTCTCTGAATAGCATTAGTGCTCTAACAGAAGGTAAAGGTGGATTCCTAAGTCTCCTGGCATGTCTCCAGGCAACCCCAGTATAAACCTCTTTCCAAGTAACAAATAAAAGTGGAACAAATAAAACATGTAACAAAAGGATTCATATGTTATTACATTTAATATACATTTTCATCAATATAAAATGACATTCCATGTAATTATGTAAAGACAATATACTAAAATTGGTCCCTTTTCAATCTTTTGTTCAGTAAAAATGCAGAGTAACAGTTTAATGAAACCAGTTACATTGAGCAGACACGCTTCTCTTATAGGAGAAATTAGGGTTTAGTGCCTTGCTCAAGGGCACATCGACAGATTTTTCACCTAGTCGGCTCCAAGATTCAAACTAGCGACCTTTCAGTTACTGGCCCAATGCTCTTAACCACTCGGCTACCTGCTGCGCTTTACAAATGCACTGTATATGCCTCGAACGTCACAAAACCATTCTTTCAATCTTTAAAATGAAGAGAACATCACTGCTTAATAAGAGTTGAAAAATATATATAAACTGTCAACAAACAAAAGTAGCAACCACACGAACATAAAAAAAACATCCTGGAAACCTTAGTGCTAGATAAATGGAAAACACGTTTAAATAAAAAACAACTGATGAATACAATAAAATAGTTATATGTCAGGCTACTATGTGAAGTAATAGACAGAGCTTCATCATGTTGACACCCCATGCCAATCCATAATAAACATTTGTTATGCAAAACTAATTAATTACTACTGGACTGGTTGACATGGTGTGTCAGATTCACATATCTCCAAGACTCTGCAATCAGGATGGAATTACAGTGCCTTAAAAAGTATTCACACCACTTGACTTTTTACAAAAAAAATTGTGTAAGAGCATGAATTTAAAATGGATTAAACTGAGATTTTTTTGTCACTGGCCTACACACAATACCCCATCATGTCAAAGTGGAATTATGTTTTTTGAAATTTATACAAATTAATTAAAAATGAACAGCTGAAATGTCTTGAGTCAATAAGTATTCAATCCCTTTGTTATGGCAAGCCTAAATAAATTCAGAAGTAAAAATGTGCTTAACAAGTCACATAATAAGTTGCATGGACTCACTCTGTGTGCAATAATAGTGTTTCACATGATTTTTGAATGACTACATTTTCTCTGTATCCCACACATACAATTATCTTTAAGGTCCCTCAGTCGAGCAGTGAATTTCAAACACAAAAACCAGGGTGGTTTTCCAATGCCTCACAAAGAAGGGCACCTATTGGTAGATGGGTAAAAAAATTAAAAAACAGACATTGAATATCCCTTTGAGCATGGTGAAGTTATTAATTACACTTTGGATGGTGTATCACCCAGTCACTACAAAGATACAGGCGTCCTTCCTAACTCAGTTGACTGACAGGAAGGAAACCGCTCAGGGATTTCACCATGAGGCCAATGGTGACCTTAAAACAGTTAAGAGTTTAATGGCTGTGATAAGATAAATATTAAGATGGATCAACATTGTAGTTACTCCACAATACTTACCTAATTGACAGAGTGAAAAGACAAGGCACTATAGTAATACTGCAAAAAATGTGGCAAAGCAATGAACTTCTTGTTCTTAATAAAAAGTGTTATGTTTGGGGCAAATCCAACACAACACATTACTGAGTACCACTCTCCATATTTTCAAGCATAGTGGTGGCTGCATCATGTTATGGGTATGCTTGTCATCATTAAGGACTGGGGAGTTTTTCAGGATAAAAAAGAAACGGAATGGAGCTAAGCACAGGCAAAATCCTAGAAAAAAACCTGGTTCAGTCTGCTTTCCACCAGACACTGGGAGATTAATTCACCTTTCAGAAGGGCAACAACCTGAAACACAAGGCCAAATCTACACTGGAGTTGCTTACCAAGAAGACGTTGAATGTTCCTGAGTGGCAGAGTTAGTTTTGACTTGAAGATCTATGGCAAGACCTGAAAATCGTTGTGTAGCAATAATCAACAACCAATTTGACAGAGCTTGAAGAACTTTGAAAATAATAATGGGCAAATGTTGCACAATCCAGGTGTGGAAAGCTCTTAGAGACTTACCCAGAAAGACTCACCGCTGTAATCGCTGCCAAAGGTGCTTCTACAAAGTATTGACTCAGGGGCGTGAATACTTATGAGATATATGTTTTACATTTTCAAATTGCAAACATTTCTAAAAACATGTTTTCACTTTGTCATTATGGGGTATTGTGTGTAGATGGGTGAGAAAAAAAATCAATTGAATCCATTTTGAATTCAGGCTGTAACAACAAAATGTGGAATAAGTCAAGGGTTATAAATGATTTCTGAAGGCACTGTATTTAGTGTAGTGTGAGCCAATGCCACGTAGCTGGCCCTGCTCTGGGTGGCTATCCCTGGAAACTCAAAGTTTGCTAGTAATGATTGATTTAAGTTCTTGGACTTATGCAAGGAGCCTGTGGCACAGAGGGAAACCCCCGGGTCCGATGAGGGGGGGTTCCCCCGGGCCCGGGCAGAAAAGGGGTTGGGAAAAAGCCTAAAATCAAGTTTACAACACGCCTTTTCGGGGAACGGGACTTTCCCTTTAATTTTTCCAGCCGGAAAGCGGTCCTTCCCTCAGGCTGGAAAACAAGAAATGGGGAAAAAAAACATCTTACTTACCAAAATCAATAAATCATAACTACATATCCCAATTTTACCCGGGATGCCTTGGACTGAAGCGCAAAAAAAAACCATGTGGAAAATGAATTATGGTTTACCATTTAACTAATAGTACTAAAATAGACCCAAGGGGTTCCCAAAAGATTTGTTTCATGACGCAAAGAAAGAAGAAAAGAAGAAGGAAAAAAAAGGAAGAAAGAGAGAAAAGGGGAAAAAAAAAGAGAAGAGACAGAGAGAGAGAAAAGAAAAGAAAGAAGAGGAAAGAGAAGAGGAAGAGAGAGAGAGGAGAGAGAGAAAGAAAGACAAGAAAGAGATGAGAGAGAGCCGAGAGAGAGATGAGAGTAGATGAGATGATGATGAAGAGTAGAGTAGAGTAGGGACACTGTAGAGTAGAGTAGGACATAGAGAGAGAGATGAGAGTAGAGAGAGTAGGAGAGGGAGTAGACAGATGAGAGAGAGATTAGAGAGAGTAGAGAGAGGAGAGGAGACAGAGAGAGAGACCAGAGGAGAGAGAGAGAGACAGAGATGAGAGAGAGAGAGCGGAGAGAGAGAGAGGAGAGAGAGATGAGAGAGAGCAACTGTAATGCTATTGTACACTAATAAAATCTGCTCAGGCATTTCAAAGGGCTGCTTTCTGACTTCTTCTGTGTTATTGCCAAGGATTTGTTAAATACATTTTGATATCAAATCCATGCAATGTAGCTACTTATTTAGTAGCTTTCCTTGCTGTTCTTGACTTGATTCTGAATGGCAGTGAGAAGAAGATTGATGACGAGAACACGCGTCAATATGTTTTGACCCTGAAATATAAAGCAGCTAGCTATCAGTGGTTTAGCAGTCCAGACCTGGGTTCAAGATGGACGGGGTTTAGCAGTCCAGACCTGGGTTCAAGATGGACGGGGTTTAGCACTCCTCCATTAAGCCAGCCGGCAGAAAGCTCAATCAAGCTAAGCTAAAGTATTCATTAAAAAAAAAAAACGAATACTATTTGAACCCAGGTCTGCACTGCGGTGGACATGCACCTCACCCCTCAGGAGTGCTGTCCAGTCCCGACATGTGGCTGTTCTTGGTGCTGTGTTTGGTGAAGATCTCCAGGGCCAGGTCTTCATAGAGCTGTCTCTGCTCAGGGCTCAAGCTCTCCAGGGACTCCAGCTTGATGAAGGCTCTGGAACACGTGCTGAAAGCCCGGTTGGCTGACGAGCAGATGGCCAGCAGGGAGTAGATCTCCACTGCCGGGATGATGTCCTCGTAGTCCCGTAGGTGGAGAGCTGGTAAGGAGGGGAGATTGGTTGAGTATTTACAGTTCATTTTAAGGTTTGGGGTTTATGGGGACATTTGAGATTGAGAGGACGTTGAATTGGGGTTTTCCCGAGTGGCACAGTGGTCTAAGGCACTGCATCGCAGTGCTAGCTGTGCCACTAGAGATCCTGGTTCGAATCCAGGCTCTGTCGTAGCCGGCCGCGACCGGGAGACTCATGGGTCTCATATTAATAATAATATAATATGCCATTTAGCAGACGCTTTTATCCAAAGCGACTTAGTCATGCGCGCATACATTTTACGTATGGGTGGTCGCGGGAATCGAACCCACTATCCTGGGGTTGCAAGCGCCGTGCTCTAGCAACTGAGCTACAGTGGACCACCCAACCACCAACAACTTTCTTCAGTTCATTTGATGGTGCTACAGAGTGAATGTCTAAACAGAGGGCTAGTCAAACCCACACCCTCAAGACCGAATGAGAAAGGGTGAGGTGCACAGTCATACCTCGGAGAAGACATAGGCCTACATACACACACACGTTAACAGACACTTGTTAAAAGAGAGCGGGGGTGTCTTGTTATTTGCTGTGTCTTTTCGTACCCGGTGACGTGAAGAGGGTTGGCAGGAACAGGGGAGGAAAGATACTAAATGTAACTGCCTGAGAGAGAGTGGGATACCTGTCTTCATGGCTTTCACCATGTAGCCTTCGTACAGCTGCCTCTGAGCCAGCAGGAAGAAGTGGTAGGCCTCGGCCCCGCGCCAGGCGCTGTCCACCATGCGGTTGTCTGAGGACGTGGCGTCCTCCTCCAGCAGCCCAGCTAGAGCAGATGTAGCCTGAAGGGAGAGAGACGGGAGTAGCTGACAGGTTGGGACGAGTAAAAGTCACCAAAAGACATGGGAATGAATTCCCTGATTCACTGAGAACGAACACTGTCGTACATCTGTTATCGGAGGGGAATTAAAGACCAAGCTATTTTTTCAGTACATCATTGATATGCTTAATCTGTACTCACTTTTGGAAAATAACAAGTGCTACCTTTGCACTGGTGTAAACGCTATATAAACCAGACCCTTGTAGCTAACAACTGCAACAAATTGTAAATTACATTACTGTTAGCATTAAATATATATATTTTTTATCTTTAACTCTGCAATGTTGGAAAAGGGAACCGTGAGTGAGCATTTCACTGTTGTTTACGAAACGTGTGACAAATAACACTTTATTTTATTTTAAAGCAGCAAACAAACCAAAATGACACACGCGACCTAAATGACTGTATTTCTTAAGGATTTTGTGGGTTGTGTACCTCTGACGTCTTCCCTTTGGCCTTGTTCTGCTGGGAGGTCTTCACTTGGCTGTGGTAGTTCTCCACTAGCAGGGCTGCCAGCACATACAGCTTCTTTACCCTCAATGGCCGGGTCCCCTTCTTAGCCTCCTCATCCGCTATCTGAAAGGTTCATACAGCAGATGACAGATGGGTCTGACACCAGATGGCATGAGGTTATGTGTGCTGGAGAATAATACGAGTTCAGGCAGGGGTCTTCGCAAAAATCCGGTCCGACGCATAATGTAGTTTAAATGCCTCTGTGAAGGCTATTGGCTAAGGACTGAACTGAATGATAAGTATTACATTTTACTGTAGTGATGAAGTGTGGTATTTACTGTAGTGGTGAAGTGTGGTATTTACTGTAGTGGTGAAGTGTGGTATTTACTGTAGTGGTGAAGTGTGGTATTTACTGTAGTGGTGAAGTGTGGTATTTACTGTAGTGGTGAAGTGTGGTATTTACTGTAGTGATGAAGTGTGGTATTTACTGTAGTGGTGAAGAGTGGTATTTACTGTAGTGGTGAAGTGTGGTATTTACTGTAGTGGTGAAGTGTGGTATTTACTGTAGTGGTGAAGTGTGGTATTTACTGTAGTGGTGAAGTGTTGCAGACTACACTGCATATTTCTTTTATTGGTTGATCATGTCCCCTTATGAGTGCCCTACCAATTACATTCCAACATTTGCCTTCTTTAGCCAGAAGACACTTCAAAACAAGAATGTGACTTTGCATGGTGTTAAGGCATAATGGTTGGCAGTACCTTAAACATGAGTTTAGCTGCGTCTAGGAAATGGTGGGCTTTACGGTACAACTCCACCGCCTCCAGAGGCTTGTTCTTCTCCAGCAGGTGAGACGCATACTTGGCCAGAAGAGATTTGATCTCTTTCATGTTGTGGTTTTTGGCCAGCTCCACAGCTTTATTCCACTGTGTAAAAGCAGAAAAGATTACGAAATAATAAATGTACCTGATATACATTTATAATATGAGACAGAACAATGATGTGTCTTTGTGTTTACATGCGGTGTGTAAAGTAGTGTTGTGTTGTTGGGTACTTGTGATATGTTGGTATGTGTTGTGAATAAATCATTGTTTAATATATACAAATAATGTTTTAATTATTTGATATATTTGAAAATATAGAAATTAGATTGAAAAAACTATATGTTAGGGCTTTGGAAAAAAGAACCAGTTGAAAGATAATTTAAAAGCTGTTGGTGTGAGCCAAATGCTGGAGGTCCTGGCCATATGTGGTTTTCAACACAACAGGAAATGGGAGAAAAGTATATCATGATTAAATCGTATCTATCCATCCGAGACCGTGTTGGTGGTTAAGAAACGTTTCATCAACACAGCATGTGTATCATGAAAACTGTGGCCAAAAGAACATGCTTTTAAATCGAGCTAAATGATCTACCAGATACCTCTACTACTTCTCTCCTGGTCACATTTCCATTGGGCAATTCTGTTATGAAGCCAAGATTCAGTTACACTCAAAATCAGCAAAGTACTACGATGCCACAAAAGAAATGTGACACATTAAAGAAAATAGTGTTGCTCATGTCTGTTGTGCTCATGCGAAGACGTTTGAAAAAATACACTTCAAAAGTAAAAACCATTCACAGTGCAATGACAAAATAATTGACAGTGCAATCCTCAGAACAGAAAGTCCTACTGTGGTCTGCCACTGGTGTAGTGATGTCATCTGGTGTAGTGATGTCAAAACCTAGTTGGTGGAGGACAGTGGGGACTGCCAGTTTCCACTTTCCAATGGGGAATCAGCACTGAATAGATAAACTGTCCTAAGCTCAGAACCACAACCCCTCTGGAGGTCTCTGACCGTCTCGTCTGTCGGTCTCTCACCTGGTTTAGATGAACGCAGGCGTCGACCGCAGCCTTGGGCTGGTTGCACTTCAGGTAGGCGTTCACGGTCTGCTCACACATGCCTACGGTGACAAACATCTGGCCGATGTCCTACGACGTGCAAACACAAAAGATAGATGAGGGGAAAGGTCTTCTTTGTCCACATGGAAATGGCTGAATGGAGGAAATTACAATTGAAGCCTTAAAATTGAAGGAGATATTTATGGATTTGAGTCCATTTAGTCAGGAAGTGAAATTCTATTAATCAATTGAAAATTGCCCGTTGTTCTCCTTTTCACTTCCTGAAGTGAATTTCAGGTATCACTTCCTGAATTGATTGGGTTGAAAATGAAAACCAAATTGACCGCAACCCTGGTAGAAACCTACTAAACACACTGTATTTATTGACATGCTGATGGAAGCCAGACGGACGGGTAGGAGAGAATTAAGTGGCGAGTCAGAGAAAGTGGAGGACCAACACAAAACACTAGCTCAGGGGTGTCAGACAGACATTTACAGTCTCTTCACTTTATCCAGCTCGTTAACAATCAGATAAACTTAAAAAATTCCAAAAACAATTCAACAATGGATATAAGACTATGTTTTGCACATTTTGATGACGACTAAATATCACCAATTTTCAGTGCGGCCCTCCAGACCTCGGTGAAGACTGAAGACCAGAAGTGACCCCTGCACTAGCTTTTTTTAACTGTCACCTAGGTATAAAGCACTACTGGAAACGTATCTCATGTCCTCTCTCTTCTACAGGGCAGCCCTCACCGGTAGCAGTTTGTGGTTCTCTGGTAGGGAACTAGCCAGTCGTTCCAGTCCGTCGTAATCCTCCAGCATATAGTAACACTCTGCCAGCCTCTCCTGGTTGCGCCCCTGAAGGTAGTATTGAACTGCATTCACCCTGGAGAGGAACATTGGCACCAAAGCATTTGCAGACTACAATACTAGAACACTCACACGATATTATGGAGCTACAGTGTCAAACATTAAAATGTCAACATGAAAGACAAAATGCTGAAGGGAAAGGATCCCGTCAAACAACTGGACTCTGTTCTGTTGCCTAGAATCAAACGTGCAAGGCAAACGCTACCATTCACCGTCTTGAAATACAAAATACTGAAAGGCCTGTACCACTTCTGTCTATCTGCAAAGTAGTCCCCGATGGCATTGTACGCCTGCTCCAGCACTGCATCGTCACAGTCACCCGATCCAGTCTTCAGAAGCTGCAGGACGCGGAACCAGTCCCCCAGCTTAATCCTCAGGCTGATGGCCAGGTCCCTAAAGAGAGAGACGTTATCTGTCGTTAGCTGTACGGTACGGTATCCATATTAGGACAGCATCACACGTCCATGGAAGTTAAGTCAATAGTGAAAAACTTCAACACCATTTTACCGACTTGAATCAACAACTGAACATTGCGTTAACATTCTAAAACATAACAAAAACTAAAAGCAAAACAAGGGTATCCTTTATCGTTTAGTGTCTTCAATACTTAACATACAGCCATAGAGGTAAAGCGCAACATCCTACGTGACATCCAACACCTTACCTGCGGTCCATGTCCAGGTACATCCTCTCGGCCTCCTCGAACCTGCTGAAGTAGGCCGCCACCTCGGCCTGTTTCATGGCTTCGCTCTGCAGGTTGCCCAAGCTCTTGACGAACTCGATGCCCTGGTAGTCCTTACAGCGGACGAAGGCCTGCTCAGCCGTCTTCAGGTCCAGCTTCTGGAGGGCCGCCTCGGCCAACAGGCGCCTGGGAGCAGATCAACAGCAGGGTGAAGACTATCATTTTGCGAAATGTCTCTGAGAAGGTGGAGAACATTTATACATGCTCACTATACGTGATTAGGGTTGCAAAATTCTGGTAACTTTCCCCAAATTCCCAGGTTTTCCAGAAATCATGGTTGGAGGAATCCGAATTTGCTCCTGATTCTGGGAATCTTCCAACTTTGCAACCCTACATGCAAATGCAATATGATCATAACCTGCGGTATACCATCCAAACCCATTCAGAAAAACACAAACACATTGCTGCTGAGAATGTCTTTGAATAAGACTGGGGTGTTGGGGTGGGGTGTTCTGAATCAGACTGGGGGTGTTGGGGTGGGGTGTTCTGAATCAGACTGGGGTGTTGGGGTGGGGTGTTCTGAATCAGACTGGGGGTGTTGGGGTGGGGTGTTCTGAATCAGACTGGGGTGTTGGGGTGGGGTGTTCTGAATCAGACTGGGGTGTTGGGGTGGGGTGTTCTGAATCAGACTGGGGTGTTGGGGTGGGGTGTTCTGAATCAGACTGGGGTGTTGGGGTGGGGTGTTCTGAATCAGACTGGGGGTGTTGGGGTGGGGTGTTCTGAATCAGACTGGGGTGTTGGGGTGGGGTGTTCTGAATCAGACTGGGGTGTTGGGGTGGGGTGTTCTGAATCAGACTGGGGTGTTGGGGTGGGGTGTGTGGTGTGTGTGTGTGTGTGTGTGTGTGTGTGTGTGTGTGTGTGTGTGTGTGTGTGTGTACTCCTGATCCTGAAAATGACCAGCTACCTTTGGTATGCATCTTGTACACGGAGCACCTTAGAAATTGAACATTTGAGGGCAATACAGGCATGTCAAAATATCTGTGGCACATCAGGTCTCTACCACTAGACCTTGTTCAGTCAATCGAAGGGACAGCTCACCCCTGACAGGTTGGTTTCATTTCCCCCCAAAAGTTCCCAAATTCCTCGAGTCGCTGTGAAAAATGACATGGGGAGCCGAAGTACTCTTTTAACCGGCATCCGTTAGCAGAGTGCTACCAAAACAGCACGATAAATCAACCAAACTCCGTCACGCCAGCGTGGGGATTCTCCCACATAACCAGATGAATATTGGCCTTTGATAAAAAGGACACAGTGATGCTTTCAACCTGCCTCAGGGATGGAAAGTCTAGGCTCACCTTAGATGATGTTCTTCAATACGAGTATACGACTAAACTGAAAATGTGACTAGGACTGACATTTTAAGAATAGGACAAATCTCCATCTGTAAATCTCTGTGTTGTAAGACATTCCACATGTCACACATGCCACAGTTTCTCCTCTGCTTGTGCAAACAGTGCTTCCAGGGGCATTTTTTGCCTTTAGGTTGAATGGCATGACATCTTCAGTGAGATCGATCACCTTGAGGTTCCTTTGAGGAGAACCTCATTAAACAGACCATAAACGTGTAACAACCATTGACTTCCCACTTTCTCACGTCACTAGGTCCTGCAAATATATTATGACCCCCGAACCAAACATCTGTGTGGCACGTTTTCTGGGCAAACTGATGCTTGCTGGGTGTGACAGTCTACTGGAAAGGCTGCAAACACTCAGAGTAGACATTGATGTCAATAATAATAAATAATAATAATATGCCATTTAGCAGACGCTTTTATCCAAAGCGACTTACAGTCATGCATGCATACATTTTTTGTGTATGGGTGGTCCCGGGGATCGAACCCACTACCTTTGGCGTTACAAGCGCCGTGCTCTACCAGCTGAGCTACAGAGGACCACAATATAAGAGTCCATTCAGAGTGGGTAAGAATGGAGGAATGACTGACAGAATAGATTCTTGAAAGGCCTTAAAAGAGAAAGTTCCCTCCAATATCAAATGATATAATTTGTTTTCAAACCTCAAAAGTGTTCTAATGTCAAGAAGAATCGCAAGCCATCAATCGCGTAGATCCAGCTGCATGCCTCAACCAAATGAACAGAAATTATACACCAAGAGCATTAAAAAAAAAAAAAAAAACGGGATATTGTGTTTATCTTTTCCATTCATTTTGGATTAGGGCATATAGCAGGATCTACACATCAGATGGCCAGGGACCTGGATTTATCTCAACAGAAGACCACTTATGAGGTCTTCTGAAAGCATCTGACAAACTTTAATTTTGGAGTGAACTGTCCCTTTAAGTGCCTCCATGAAATGCAGGGTTACTGTCTATGTAATCTCATCCCAGGCTTTTGCCCAAAGGGGCTGGGAACAAGATTACTGTCCATGTATTTACCAGAGTCTGGGGTGGGGGTTGTCTTCGATGAACTGGGAGGCGTCCTCGATGCCCACTTTCTCGATCAGCGAGCGGCTGTCGCGGAGGGAGCGGATCTCAAAGTTGATGAGGTAATCCTTGTTCGGCCTCTCCGGATCCTAAGAGGAAATCTGGGATCACTTCACATTCCCATTGCATCATGGATATTCCGGACCTTTTGGCATCCGACTCCATTTAGCAAAGTATACTTTGCATAACTAACAGAAATAGACGCATCTTTGCTGTTGTTGTGCACAGTCAATTGTGTTCTGCTGGGAACATGTATGTATTCCAATAGCAATAGTAAACATCTGTTCCCGCATAGCTTACTTTGTTTGCTATCAAATTACCGGAATTAGTGGGAACAGTGGGACTTTTGCATATTAAGAAAAGAAGGTTACCTTCATGATTTCATCCAGCAGGACCGATTTGATTTCCAGGTCTTCAAAGTTGCAGATGTATCCAGACGTTTGAATGGGTTCCTGATTAATATGGAATATTAAAATCAGAAGAAATTGTATGTCTAATATAAAAACACCAACTTGTTTTTGTCTCTTTGGGGTCATCCGTTGATGATGGTCATTAAGGGGAAAACATCCATTATGCTCTGATCCTAATCTATACCCAACATTTAAAAACCTCCGCATTTCTATTTGGAAGGGTAGGGAACAGCAAACTAGAGGTAGTGTGTAGTTTCCAATTCAGTATGAATTATACACTATGTATGGAATTAATTGGTGGTCTGTTGGGGCAATGTCCCATACGGTTTTAACATGAGCAGTGCTCACAGCAAGTTTACAATCAATTTGTTTTGTGCACCAGCTGTGCGCAATAGCCTGTGGACAGGGTGTTGAGTCAATCTGAAACTAAACTTTTCTATATGCAGTGAGCAGTGCTTCCTTAGGCTTATATAAACTATGTAGGGTTGAGAAAACAAGCAGCAAAGGAATAAAATGAAGAGGTTTGTCTTTTCCTCTGACTCTCTCTGGGGAGACCCAAACCCTCCTTCCATTCTGGGGAGACCCAAACCCTCCTTCCATTCTGGGGAGACCCAAACCCTCCTTCCATTCTGGGGAGACCCAAACCCTCCTTCCATTCTGGGGAGACCCAAACCCTCCTTCCATTCTGGGGAGACCCAAACCCTCCTTCCATTCTGGGGAGACCCAAACCCTCCTTCCATTCTGGGGAGACCCAAACCCTCCTTCCATTCTGGGGAGACCCAAACCTTCCTTCCATTCTGGGGAGAACCAATCCCTCCTTCCATTCTGGGGAGACCCAAACCCTTCTTCCATTCTGGGGAGAACCAACCCCTCCTTCCATTCTGGGGAGAACCAATCCCTCCTTCCATTCTGGGGAGAACCAATCCCTCCTTCCATTCTGGGGAGACCCAACCCCTCCCTCCATTCTGGGGAGACTCCCAACCCCTCCCTCCATTCTGGGGAGACCCAAACCCCTCCCTCCATTCTGGGGAGACCCCTCTCTCCATTCTGGGGAGACTCCCAACCCCTCTCTCCATTCTGGGGAGACTCCCAACCCCTCCCTCCAATCTGGGGAGACTCCCAACCCCTCCCTCCAATCTGGGGAGACTCCCAACCCCTCCCTCCATTCTGGGGACACCCCAAACCCCTACCTCCATTCTTGGGAGACCCCTCCCTCCATTCTGGGGAGACCCAACCCATCCCCAACCCCTCCCTCCATTCTGGGAAGACCCCAACCCCTCCCTACATTCTGGGGAGACCCCCAACCCCTCCCTACATTCTGGGGAGACCCAAACCCTCCCTACATTCCCAGCAATTCTAAGTGTATGGTGGTTAGCTATATAATCATCACAACCAGACCACATGTGTTTGAAATGTTTGAATGCCACACCTTGCAGAATCCACGCCCCGAAGAATTCAGTCTGTTCTGGAGGCAAAGGGGGGTCTGACCCGATACTAGATAGGTGTACCTAATAAACTGAGTATATACAGTGAGGGAAAAAAGTATTTGATCCCCTGCTGATTTTGTACGTTTGCCCACTGACAAAGAAATGATCAGTCTATAATTTTAATGGTAGGTTTATTTGAACGGTGAGAGACAGAATAACAACAACAAAATCCAGAAAAACTCATGTCAAAAATGTTATAAATTGATTTGCATTTTAATGAGGGAAATAAGTATTTGACCCCCTCTCACTCAGAAAGATTTCTGGCTCCCAGGTGTCTTTTATACAGGTAACGAGCTGAGATTAGGAGCACACTTAAAGGGAGTGCTCCTAATCTCAGTTTGTTACCTGTATAAAAGACACCTGTCCACAGAAGCAATCAATCAATCAGATTCCAAACTCTCCACCATGGCCAAGACCAAAGAGCTCTCCAAGGATGTCAGGGACAAGATTGTAGACCTACACAAGGCTGGAATGGGCTACAAGACCATCGCCAAGCAGCTTGGTGAGAAGGTGACAACAGTTGGTGCGATTATTCGCAAATGGAAGAAACACAAAAGCATTGTCAATCTCCCTCGGCCTGGGGCTCCATGCAAGATCTCACCTCGTGGAGTTGCAATGATCATGAGAACGGTGAGGAATCAGCCCAGAACTACACGGGAGGATCTTGTCAATGATCTCAAGGCAGCTGGGACCATAGTCACCAAGAAAACAATTGGTAACATACTACGCCATGAAGGACTGAAATCCTGCAGCGCCTGCAAGGTCCACCTGCTCAAGAAAGCAAATATACAGGTCCGTCTGAAGTTTACCAATGAACATCTGAATGAGTCAGAGGAGAACTGGGTGAAAGTGTTGTGGTCAGATGAGACCAAAATCGAGCTCTTTGGCATCAACTCAACTCGCCGTGTTTGGAGGAGGAGGAATGCTGCCTATGACCCCAAGAGCACCATCCCCACCGTCAAACATGGAGGTGGAAACATTATGCTTTGGGGGTGTTTTTCTGCTAAGGGGACAGGACAACTTCACCGCATCAAAGGGACGATGGACGGGGCCATGTACCGTCAAATCTTGGGTGAGAACCTCCTTCCCTCAGCCAGGGCATTGAAAATGGGTCGTGGATGGGTATTCCAGCATGACAATGACCCAAAACACACGGCCAAGGCAACAAAGGAGTGGCTCAAGAAGAAGCACATTAAGGCCTCCTGTAGCTCAGTTGGTAGAGCATGGCGCTTGCAACGCCAGGGTTGTGGGTTCGATTCCCACGGGGGACCAGTATGAAAAATGTATGCACTCACTAACTGTAAGTCGCTCTGGATAAGAGCGTCTGCTAAATGACTAAAATGTCAAACATGTAAGGTCCTGGAGTGGCCTAGCCAGTCTCCAGACCTTAATCCCATAGAAAATCTGTGGAGGGAGCTGAAGGTTCGAGTTGCCAAACGTCAGCCTCGAAACCTTAATGACTTGGTGAAGATCTGCAAAGAGGAGTGGGACAAAATCCCTCCTGAGATGTGTGCAAACCTGGTGGCCAACTACAAGAAACGTCTGACCTCTGTGATTGCCAACAAGGGTTTTGCCACCAAGTACTAAGTCATGTTTTGCAGAGGGGTCAAATACTTATTTCCCTCATTAAAATGCAAATCAATTTATAACATTTTTGACATGCGTTTTTCTGGATTATTTTTTGTTATTCTGTCTCTCACTGTTCAAATAAACCTACCATTAAAATTATAGACTGATCATGTCTTTGTCAGTGGGCAAACATACAAAATCAGCAGGGGATCAAATACTTTTTTCCCTCACTGTATATTTATATAGAGGCTATATATGATATATATATTCATATAGAGGCTATATATGAGATATATATTTATATAGAGGCTATATATGATATAGGTCAGAGGGACTCACCTCTGGGTCCAGGTTCCTGAACACGTACATCCTGGTCTTTTCCATCATGGCAAACAGATCGGGGTTGTCATTGGCCCACTGCATGTCCCAGACGTCCTTGCGCTCAAACTTGGAGGGGTCGCCTGTCCCCGCCTGGCTCCCAGAGCCATCACCCGAAGACGAACGCACCGCCAGGTCCAAAAACGTCAGCACTCCCGAAATGTCAATTATCGCCAGGCGGCTAAAGAAAAATATGGGTTTTATCAATACAAGATTGTACAATAATAATAAAAAAGTGCATGAAGTTCACCAAACTGCTTTTGGACCAGGCAATAACTGTTCAGATGGTTCCTAACAATGCTATGTCGGTTGTACTTATGTAATGCAAGCAATAAGCTCCATTGGCATAAACTATTTTCTGCTACTGAAACACCATCTACCGTGTAATATTACAGTGACCAGCCAACAGTGAGTCCTGACCTGGAGGTACAGTTGAGTGAAAGCTGGTAGGCCCGGTAGTTTAAGGAGTATTTCTGCACCAGAGCAACGTTAGGCAGGCTGTATTTGTGGATGGTACCAGACTCACGGCCCTTTGATCACAAACGGACAAACACAGTAAAAAACCTTTCCGAACTGAACTTTTCCAACTCTTGATAGACTGATGAACTAATACTCTATAAAATCCTGAGAGAAATACCTACCACAATCAGTGTCTTGTCTGTTGCTGTGATGCAACAAATGGGGTCTCGTGTTGCCTAAAATAGAAAAGGGAAATATATGAGGCAATGGGTTACGAATGAGCTATTTCCATTCAACTTTATTGAATGTATTTATGTTGGCTCTCTCTTGGGGTTTTAACAGGCATTGTAACCGAGGGTGAAATCTTCAGCTTGTGTTAACAAAGGGAGTGTTGTGTGCTTTCTAAAAATGCAACTCACAGTGAAGGCCTTGGCAAAGTCCAGGGGGCCCTCAGTGGTCCCAGATGGACTATCATCAATATGATAGACCCTAGAGACAGAGACAGACAGGGAAAGAAAGAGAAACAGACAGACAGACAGAAAGACAGGGGAGAGAGACAGAGAGAGAGACAGGGAGCGAGAGAGAGAGAGTGAGACAGACCGACAGACAGACAGGGAGTGAAAGAGAGACAGACACAGGGAGAGAAAAATACAGACAGGGAGAGAGAGAGAGACAGACAGACAGACAGACATAGACAGAGATGGAGGTGGGGTCAAAGAGACAGACAGACAGACAGACAGACAGACAGGCAGGGAGAGAGAAAGAGAGAGACAGCCAGACAGAAATGGGGGGGGGGGGGGGGGGGGGGGGGCAGAGAGTTGGGTGGGCAGAGAGAGAGAGAGAGAATTTAATTGAGAGAGTACATTAGACTTTCCTTCAAGCTGATATGTTGGCATGCAGACAGGAACATCCCTGGCAGGACAGTCGGTCCTACCCTCGCCTGTCTGTCTGAGGTCAGTATCACTGACTCACTGGTCAACCCGCTGTCTACTGTATGTCTACTGTTTCAGGCAGATGAATGGACCTTCTTCATATCAATGTCAACACCTTGCACAGGATCAAACAAGCCAGGACCTGGGGCGGCAGGTATCCTAGCGGTTAGAGGCCAGCCAGCAACCGGAGGGTTGCCAGTTCGAATCTCGGGTCTGAGCAGAAAAATCTGTAGGGAAGTGAGCTGGCAATCCTAGATGCCATTGCTTGCCGAGCAAAGGCACTTAACCCCCACAACAAGTGCTTCATGGGCGCCCAGTGTGGCAGTCTTCCGCTCGAACTGGCAACCCTCCGGTTGCTGGCTGGCCTCTCTAACCGCTAGGCTACCTGCCACCTGTATGTGTGTCTTTCGGAGCGGTTGGGATAAAGCAGAAGTCAAATTTCGGTTGGACCTTGTGTACAAATCACAAATAAAGTGATCTTAATCTTGTAAACATCTTCTGACCCCAAAAATAAGGAAGATTTTCATGATATTAGTGCCACAGAACAAATCAACAGTTCAGAATAACATCAAGGGTGGTTCCTTCAGCTTATTTTGGTTTCAGTCGGGATATATCCTCACAAATGACAGAGAATATGTTTTTTCTGGTTTGTTGCTCCTGTGCAAGGTGTCTTAACCGTGCCACCTGGACTTTCCAGATAGAAACAGAATTAGTAAAGCTGACACGATTCCCTATTCTATCTGACAGACAGTAATTTCTGTTATACACCTGTTACGTTCCCCAGTTTCTATGTTGTGGTTTGTGTATTTTCATGTAGGTATTTCAGGAAATGGGTTCCTGAAATTCCCCAACAAGCAGCTGATTGATTGGATGAACATTGATGATTGGAGAGCTGACCCCGCGCCCTCGTCAGGACGCAGCTGTCTCCAATTTACCAACTCCTCCTGAAGCTATATAAGCCCCAGTTGCTCAGGAAAGAGGGGGAACCAGAATGGCTGAGAGTTACAGCATGTTGGTTGTATGCTAAGATTTTGGTATGTACTGTGTTGTTGTGAGAACCAATTGTAATGTTTTGTGTTAGTTTGTGGCTCAGAGTTTCTTTAATGTCCTGAGTTTGTTTTTCTCAGGTTTTGTTGTGAACCAGTTTGTGCAATTTTGTTTCATTTGTTCCCAAGGGGGGAAGGGGAAGGCACCTAGGGAGTGCTTAGGCAAGAGGCCCGCGGGCATACATTACCCATAGAGGCATACAGTCTATGCAAACTAGGAAAGACCTGGGCGGACCATCCCTTGTATTTTGGTTAGTGCACCAGGAGGTGCTAGTTAAGTAAGTAGTGAGTAGGCAGGTAAGGTAGGAGAGGGGGCTTTGATATTTACTTTCTTTGCTTTGGTTCCATCCGGACCCTTTTCCCCAAAGTTACCGTGCGAAGGAATAAATTCCCTGTTAACGGTATTCTCTGCCTTTTGTCATCCTTACTCACACCTACAGTCCCATACCTCTTTCACCCCACGGAGAGTTGAGTTGTAGCAGGGTGTTGCGTTCCCTCTTCCGAGAGGAGTGCGTAACAACACCATACATTTCTATCTGTACTGAAGGTTCTGTAAGGTTATATCCTCTGAACCGGCCCGGTACCGGCAGCACTCACCTCTCCCTACCCTCCTTCCTGGTCCTGGACACCTGGTTGATCTCCATGGCAGTTAGCTTCTTGGCCACGCGGTACTGCCAGATGTAGAAGGCCTCCTTGGACGCAGCGATCACATGGGTCTTAGTCATGGTGACGAACAGCGGATCTGTCGAGGTGACATGATCCAAGGTTATTTCAGTAAACTAAGGACCTAAATTCAATCAAAATCTGTAACCTTGGTCGTGTTCAGTTAGATACACCGGAGCAAAACGTAGCAACAGAAACCAAAAATGCATTTATATAATTCATAAATCATATCTCAGAGTGATACAAGGAAAAACTTCACAGCTAAAATAATAATCAGACTAAATAAACAAATTCATTATCATTTTCAGAAACAAAAACAGTGAGAGGCACTTTCTTTCAATGCAACGCTCCAGGCCCAAGAACAGGTCTACTCAGGTCACAGTGAGGAAGATTCTCCACAAAGAGGAAGTATACATCCTTTATTGTTGATTCAGCATGCTCTCATACTTGGATCTCCTTTAGGCTCTCCCAGCCCTCTCAGATGACAGACGTTGAACTGCCTCCACTATGGTCTCTGGGTAAACGTTTGGCCAGTAGCACAGACTTGGCTTGCCACGCGGCAGAGGGAATATTACCGAATGTGTAGTTGACCTACAGATGGGGGCATCTTCGGTGTCTGTCATGAACAAGCCCATGAAAGGGAAGGATTGTTGGTGGTAGAAACCCAGACGAGAAAGCAGCCTTTTGAACCTGGGTGACAGATCAGCGCTAGGAAGTGTTGGGCTTTCTCATTCCAGGGGAATCTGTTACAAAGCCTGCCAAGGTGTTTAAGGTATTTACATGATCCAAAACGGCAAGGCGTCTCTCCAGTAATGTGCACTTCTTGACATTTCTGACGTCTCCACTTTTGAAGTGTTTTAGGGAAATTGAACCAAACTATCCTTGATACTGTTCCAGTTTATTATAATCTGCTAGAAACATAATGCTCTCTTATCTTTCTGATATCACTCACCAATGTCAATGTATTTAGAATCCAGTGGGGTTCCAATGGAGTTACAGAGAACCAGCACATACTGGAAAACAAGACAAAGTCATGTATTTCTTCAACAGACATACAACCCAATCACCTTCATCATATATGGTCAAATTCAGAGTGTTCATTACCATACAGGGTCATATTTAGAGGGAGTACCTTACCATACAGGGTCATATTTAGAGGGAGTACCTTACCATACAGGGTCATATTTAGAGGGAGTACCTTACCATACAGGGTCATGTTTAGAGGGAGTACATTACCATACAGGGTCATATTTAGAGGGATACATTACCATACAGGGTCATGTTTAGAGGGAGTACCTTACCATACAGGGTCATGTTTAGAGGGAGTACATTACCATACAGGGTCATATTTAGAGGGAGTACCTTACCATACAGGGTCATATTTAGAGGGAGTACCTTACCATACAGGGTCATATTTAGAGGGAGTACCTTACCATACAGGGTCATATTTAGAGGGAGTACATTACCATACAGGGTCATATTTATAGGGAGTACCTTACCATACAGGGTCATATTTAGAGGGAGTACCTTACCATACAGGGTCATGTTTAGAGGGAGTACATTACCATACAGGGTCATATTTAGAGGGAGTACATTACCATACAGGGTCATATTTAGAGGGAGTACCTTACCATACAGGGTCATATTTAGAGGGAGTACCTTACCATACAGGGTCATACAGTGAGGGAAAAAAGTATTTGATCCCCTGCTGATTATGCACATTTGCCCACTGACAAAGAAATGATCAGTCTATAATTTTAATGGTAGGTTTATTTGTACAGTGAGAGACAGAATAACAACAAAAAAATCCAGAAAAACGCATGTAAAAAATGTTATAAATTGATTTGCATTTTAATGAGGGAAATAAGTATTTGACCCCCTCCAAATCAGAAAGATTTCTGGCTCCCAGGTGTCTTTTATACAGGTAACGAGCTGAGATTAGGAGTACACTCTAAAAGGGAGTGCTCCTAATCTCAGTTTGTTACCTGTATAAAAGACACCTGTCCACAGAAGCAATCAATCAATCAGATTCCAAACTCTCCACCATGGCCAACACCAAAGAGCTCTCCAAGGATGTCAGGGACAAGATTGTAGACCTACACAAGGCTGGAATGGGCTACAAGACCATCGACAAGCAGCTTGGTGAGAAGATGACAACAGTTGGTGCGATTATTCGCAAATGGAAGAAACACAAAATAACTGTCAATCTCCCTCGGCCTGGGGCTCCATGCAAGATCTCACCTCGTGGAGTTGCAATGATCATGAGAACGGTGAGGAGTCAGCCCAGAACTACACAGGAGGATATTGTTAATGATCTCAAGGCAGCTGGGACCATAGTCACCAAGAAAACAATTGGTAACACATTACGCCGTGAAGGACTGAAATCCTGCAGCGCCCGCAAGGTCCCCCTGCTAAAGAAATCACATATACAGGGCCGTCTGAAGTTTGCCAATGAACATCTGAATGATTCAGAGGAGAACTGTGTGAAAGTGTTGTGGTCAGATCAGACCAAAATCGAGCTCTTTGGTATCAACTCAACTCGCCGTGTTTGGAGGAGGAGGAATGCTGCCTATGACCCCAAGAACACCATCCCCACCGTCAAACATGGAGGTGGAAACATTATGCTTTGGGGGTGTTTTTCTGCTAAGGGGACAGGACAACATCACCGCATCAAAGGGACGATGGACGGGGCCATGTACCGTAAAATCTTGGGTGAGAACATCCTTCCCTCAGCCAGGGCACTGAAAATGGGTCGTGGATGGGTATTCCAGCATGACAATGACCCAAATCACACGGCCAAGGCAACAAAGGAGTGGCTCAAGAAGAAGCACATTAAGGTCCTGGAGTGGCCTAGCCAGTCTCCAGACCTTAATCCCATAGAAAATCTGTGGAGGGAGCTGAAGGTTCAAGTTGCCAAACATCAGCCTCGAAACCTTAATGACTTGGAGAAGATCTGCAAAGAGGAGTGGGACAAAATCCCTCCTGAGATGTGTGCAAACCTGGTGGCCAACTACAAGAAACGTCTGACCTCTGTGATTGCCAACAAGAGTTTTGCCACCAAGTACTAAGTGATGTTTTGCAGAGGGGTCAAATACTTATTTCCCTCATTAAAATGCAAATAAATTTATAACATTTTTGACATGCGTTTTTCTGGATTTTATTGTTGTTATTCTGTCTCTCACTGTTCAAATAAATCTACCATTAAAATTATAGACTGATCATGTCTTTGTCAGTGGGCAAACGTACAAAATCAGCAGGGGATCAAATACTTTTTTCCCTCACTGTATTTAGAGGGAGTACCTTACCATACAGGGTCATATTTAGAGGGAGTACATTACCATACAGGGTCATATTTAGAGGGAGTACCTTACCATACAGGGTCATGTTTAGAGGGAGTACCTTACCATACAGGGTCATATTTAGAGGGAGTACCTTACCATACAGGGTCATGTTTAGAGGGAGTACATTACCATACAGGGTCATATTTAGAGGGAGTACATTACCATACAGGGTCATATTTAGAGGGAGTACCTTACCATACAGGGTCATATTTAGAGGGAGTACCTTACCATACAGGGTCATATTTAGAGGGAGTACCTTACCATACAGGGTCATATTTAGAGGGAGTACATTACCATACAGGGTCATATTTAGAGGGAGTACCTTACCATACAGGGTCATGTTTAGAGGGAGTACCTTACCATACAGGGTCATATTTAGAGGGAGTACCTTACCATACAGGGTCATGTTTAGAGGGAGTACATTACCATACAGGGTCATATTTAGAGGGAGTACATTACCATACAGGGTCATATTTAGAGGGAGAACATTACCATACAGGGTCATATTTAGAGGGAGTACATTACCATACAGGGTCATATTTAGAGGGAGAACATTACCATACAGGGTCATATTTAGAGGGAGTACATTACCATACAGGGTCATATTTAGAGGGAGTACCTTACCATACAGGGTCATATTTAGAGGGAGTACCTTACCATACAGGGTCATGTTTAGAGGGAGTACCTTACCATACAGGGTCATATTTAGAGGGAGTACCTTACCATACAGGGTCATGTTTAGAGGGAGTACATTACCATACAGGGTCATATTTAGAGGGAGTACATTACCATACAGGGTCATATTTAGAGGGAGAACATTACCATACAGGGTCATATTTAGAGGGAGTACATTACCATACAGGGTCATATTTAGAGGGAGAACATTACCATACAGGGTCATATTTAGAGGGAGTACATTACCATACAGGGTCATATTTAGAGGGAGTACCTTACCATACAGGGTCATATTTAGAGGGAGTACCTTACCATACAGGGTCATGTTTAGAGGGAGTACCTTACCATACAGGGTCATATTTAGAGGGAGTACATTACCATACAGGGTCATATTTAGAGGGAGTACCTTACCATACAGGGTCATATTTAGAGGGAGTACCTTACCATACAGGGTCATATTTAGAGGGAGCACATTACCATACAGGGTCATATTTAGAGGGAGTACATTACCATACAGGGTCATGTTTAGAGGGAGTACATTACCATACAGGGTCATATTTAGAGGGAGTACATTACCATACAGGGTCATATTTAGAGGGAGTACCTTACCATACAGGGTCATATTTAGAGGGAGTACCTTACCATACAGGGTCATATTTAGAGGGAGTACCTTACCATACAGGGTCATATTTAGAGGGAGCACATTACCATACAGGGTCATGTTTAGAGGGAGTACATTACCATACAGGGTCATATTTAGAGGGAGTACATTACCATACAGGGTCATATTTAGAGGGAGTACCTTACCATACAGGGTCATATTTAGAGGGAGTACCTTACCATACAGGGTCATGTTTAGAGGGAGTACCTTACCATACAGGGTCATATTTAGAGGGAGTACCTTACCATACAGGGTCATGTTTAGAGGGAGTACATTACCATACAGGGTCATATTTAGAGGGAGTACATTACCATACAGGGTCATATTTAGAGGGAGAACATTACCATACAGGGTCATATTTAGAGGGAGTACATTACCATACAGGGTCATATTTAGAGGGAGAACATTACCATACAGGGTCATATTTAGAGGGAGTACATTACCATACAGGGTCATATTTAGAGGGAGTACCTTACCATACAGGGTCATATTTAGAGGGAGTACCTTACCATACAGGGTCATGTTTAGAGGGAGTACCTTACCATACAGGGTCATATTTAGAGGGAGTACCTTACCATACAGGGTCATGTTTAGAGGGAGTACATTACCATACAGGGTCATATTTAGAGGGAGTACATTACCATACAGGGTCATATTTAGAGGGAGAACATTACCATACAGGGTCATATTTAGAGGGAGTACATTACCATACAGGGTCATATTTAGAGGGAGAACATTACCATACAGGGTCATATTTAGAGGGAGTACATTACCATGCAGGGTCATATTTAGAGGGAGTACCTTACCATACAGGGTCATATTTAGAGGGAGTACCTTACCATACAGGGTCATGTTTAGAGGGAGTACATTACCATACAGGGTCATATTTAGAGGGAGTACATTACCATACAGGGTCATATTTAGAGGGAGTACCTTACCATACAGGGTCATATTTAGAGGGAGTACCTTACCATACAGGGTCATATTTAGAGGGAGTACCTTACCATACAGGGTCATATTTAGAGGGGAGAACATTACCATACAGGGTCATATTTAGAGGGAGTACATTACCATACAGGGTCATATTTAGAGGGAGTACATTACCATACAGGGTCATATTTAGAGGGAGTACCTTACCATACAGGGTCATATTTAGAGGGAGCACATTACCATACAGGGTCATATTTAGAGGGAGTACATTACCATACAGGGTCATATTTAGAGGGAGTACATTACCATACAGGGTCATATTTAGAGGGAGTACCTTACCATACAGGGTCATATTTAGAGGGAGTACATTACCATACAGGGTCATATTTAGAGGGAGTACCTTACC